AAGCATAAAGGATACATTTAAAATTTCGAGAAAAAAAAAAATAAATAAATGTTTAATGTAACCAACCATTCAAAATACGGACCTTAAACACTCACTCAAGTGTATCAATTACAGTATACATTTTCTGATAGAACTAAAAATAAAGGATATAAAAAATTTAGATAAGAAATGAAATATCTACAAAATTTGAACCTTTAAAATTTTTGGGTTTTTTTTTTTTTTTTTTTGCACGTTTATCCATATTGATTTCGTTCCTTCGATGTTATAGTCATATAATACAAAAGATCTGTATATAGGATCTGAATTGAAATTCTAAAGAAATACAGAAAAAAAAAAACCAAACGCAAATCTTTTCAATTCTTGAATATTGTGTGGCAATACAATACTCTCGAACCGAAAGGTTTTTAAATATTAACGATATAGTGAAGCATATAGTGACTGTTGAATACCAATGTGAAACTAACTTACACATTGAAACAGAAGGATATAAATATATTAATTGACTGGAATAAATTTAATATTGAAAAAAAAAACAAGAAGAATTCATTTTATATTCAATGATTCATTGATTAATTCATTCATTCATTCATTTACGAGCTTTAAACCTACATGCATGCCTAACATATTTAAATAAATTTTTATATTTATTTATTTCTTTATCATTGAAATTTGAATTTAATTCAAAGGTCATACAAATTTAGGTCTCGTTTAAATTTTTATACATGTAGCTAGATAAAAGTATTAAATTCTTTTTTAAAATTTCTAAAAATTCAAATTTTTTAAAATTTTATTATATGTATAAAAGTAATAATTGTCATTATTTTTGAATATTTTTTTTTTTTGTAGTTGAATTTGTAAATTCTCTATACAATAAAATAATATTTTAATTAATAACCCGAACTAAAAAAGTGTTTGTGAATTTGAAACAATTTATGTTACGAGACGCCTACTTGCTATGCAATGCAATATCAATCAAAAAATTTACTATAAGTTATATTCTCTGTTGACCTAGTCGCCGATATTTCACCTAGTGAAATAGTCTTGCACATGGTTATCGTCTGTCTGGATATTTTCTTGAATTCAAATTACCATTGCAGAGTACTTAAATCAAATGCATACTCGTATCTAATAGCTCCTGATATGTAAAAATATTCATAATTTAAAAAATTGTCTTTATGCTTTCAAAGGTAAGTAATGCCTGTTAATTATATGCAAAATTTTTTCACTCTTGCAACAAACATGTAACAGTTTATCTTTAGCTTATGTAATTTTTACTTAGACTAAAATACCGATTTTCCCTGGAAACCATCCTATTTCCAACCGAATTATCTCGCAAACAAAAAAAATTGAATAGGGTAAATTTTTTTAATAATTGTTCATTTTGTGAAAAATTTATTTCCTCAATAAGTTTTTAAGTTATTCTTCAAATGGCATATTATTTTTAAGTCGTCTCACTTTTTTCTCGATACCAAAAATTTTCAACTGCAATTTTGGAGGTTAAATATTCATTTGCGCCCAAATCTCCTCAAGAATGATATTTTTCATAAAACTGTCCTACCATTTGTGCTTCCAAATTCTACTTCTTTTTATCTGACTACTGTGTTTTTTATTAAAAGGCGCCCCATCATCAAAAAACCTGCTGATGGATAATTTGGGCACAGCAGCTTTAATATTTTATAAAATTGAATTATTTTTGAAGTAGCATTTCATCTTTGTCATAAAATTTCAAAAGAAAATCTACTAATTTTTTTTAAAAATGATGACCCAATTGCAAGAATCATTTGTGCTAAATTTTACCATTATTAGAGGCCTATGTAAAATAAGAAGTGTTATATTAATAAAAGTGATTGGTTTTTGTAAAATTATCAAATCCTATTTGAGGCTTAAATTAAAATCAAAACTTTTCATAAAAATTCTTTTCTAAATTAATGCGGAAAAGTTTTAGAACAGGATCTAAAATTTTTTATTTAAGGATATTGCGTACTTAAGAAAAAAATAAATTGTCATTTATTTGAAATGTAATACTTTAGAAGATTTATTAACATTATTTAGGCTCATTAGCGTTTCCTTAGAATTTAATTTATTGATTTTTTTTTTGTAATTTTATAGAATTTGAATATCGTGTTTTGCCTAATTCACATTTCTTTGCTATATAATTGAGCAAGAACCAGAAAAACAAACATCTTATATTTTTTTTTTTCTTTATTTTACGCAAATTTTCATTAAATTTTTATAATTTAAATCATAATGACACGATAAAATTACCCAGAATTACAGTTTAGTCTAAAATTATTAATTATTTGTAATATTATAAAATATTAATTCAATTTATCAAATTTTTTGATAATTCGACTAAAGATTTTTTCCTGTTTGATTCAAATATCTAAAAACAAGGACCTATATTCAAAATATTCAAATTTTTAAATTTTGATTTTCAGCTACTTTAATTATTTGTAAGAACTAAGAATAATATGAAAAGAATTAATAAATGATTAATGGTCTATAATTATTTATTAAATATGAAATTTTAATTTTTTCAAATTGGCTGATTTTTATTTGAATACGAGTATAATAATTTTGTTATGGTAATCTTGCAAATTTTTTAACATAATAGATGTACAATCCTTGTAACCTGGATTTTGCACAATTCAGAGTGTAATGATCTAATGCAAAATACGTAATGGAGAAAATAAAATCAGTATATTTTCATAGTTTTATGATCTAGACGGAATAAAGAAATCCACATATACAAACACCTCACGACATCAGGAATTTGATGAAAAAATCTAGAAACTAGAAATCTAATGAATTAAGCTTGAATAGTTGGTTTTTTTCAATGAATTTATACAAGATTTTGAACATTATCAAAAAAAATTTTATTAAATTTAAACAATGTGAAATTTAATAGACAATAAAATAAATAAATCTTATGTTGCTTTTTGCACATGATTTTTTCTAACTTCTCAATATTTTGATAAATTTTCATAATGAAGAATAAAAGAAAGATAACAGACACCTAGAAATTATTAATATTTGATTAATTGCAAAATTTGAATCTGTGAAATTTTTGTACCATTAATAAAATTATAATCAATCGCTTTGTTTAAATAAATCTGAACAATAAAACAACATGAATAAAAATGAATAAATACAATAAAAATTATAACGCAAGAAAAAATGGTAATTATTAACGATTTTAGAAAAGAATTAAAATTTAAATTCGGTCCGGAAGTTGTAATATTTATCACTTTTACTAGTATTAAGGAGAGTAATGAAATGTGATTTTGTCGAACTAAATTGCATTTGTCGAACATTGTTTCTTGCAATATTATAAATTTGTGAAAAGAGGAAACATTTTCCTTAATTATCAATGAATTAATAAGCCAGAAAATTTTTTAACGAATAAAATAAAAATTTTCGAATTCAACTTCCCGTTCAATTGACACTATTTTCAGCTGTAATGCTGGCAACAAATAAAATAGAGTCGATTTTGCTAAAAATTTATGGACGCCATATATGCAACTGCAAAATAATTTGAGGGAAATTGCGAATAATAACGTAGACAAACCATTAAATAAAATACTAAAACTTTCCTTATACAATTTCTGAATTTTTTTCACCTCTTCAAATAATTTATGTAAATTTTTTCAAGTTATTGAACCATTTGAAAAAACTCAAACAATTAGCCAGTATCATTCTTACGATATTACCTCTACATGACACCAAAAATAAGAATTATTGATTTCCAATTAAATTAATGAGCAAGGTTACAAAAAAGCTTGATCTAATATTTTAATGCTCAATAGTATATGGAGCTAATTTCTGAGATGGAACTCATTTTCAACAAAATCACCTACAATGTTGAAATTAATTTAAGAATAGTTTATTATCCTCATTAATATTTATTAGTAATAGAATGTTGTTAATTAAATCCTATCCAAGAATATAATTTGAAATATAATAATATTTTCCAACAAATATTAACAATTCTCATAAAAGTAATGAATTATTTAAAATATTAATCACACATCTATGATTGTTTTCCAAAATAATTAATTATAAATTAGAATCAAATGAGTAGAAATTCTAATAATAAAGGATTGATAGTTATTTCTATTGCAGTTTATATTTTATGAATCGAATTATTATAAATATGTGATGGCTTCAAAAAATGTACTATATGTTACCATAGATGTAAGTTGAAATATAATGTTATTTATTTATATACACAATAATATTATTTACTAATTTATTTTATATTGCAAATTGTAAGGAATTTTTCTTTATTTATCATAAAGTCATAATATTACAGCTATCTATTTTTGATTATATTTTATAAATTTATATCTGTTGTCAACAGAATTGGAAAACTCTTTGAAAAATTAGATGTCAAACATTCATTTTTTGAACAAAAACCAAATATATATTTACGTATAGTAAAAATATGACCTTAGTAAAACGGTTTGGATCCTGACGATATCTTAGAGGCACGTTGCCTAAATAACGACTTTTCTGAGATTGCCTTTAAAAGCAGGGCTGCCGGAAAATGGACAAGAAGAAGACCATTTTTCAATCTTCGCGAGTGTCTTGCAATAGGCGGGGCCAGATTGATCACGCAGGGCAAAACATGTGACGGGACAGGACAAATAAATAAAAAATTAGTAGAGAACCGGGTTGCTTGAATTGTGGCTGGGTATTCACGAGGTAGTGGTAGTAAAATGACACATTTATGTTAATTGGAAAGCGATATACCCACTGAACAATTCAACCAGCCAAACAAATAGAAATAAATTTATTAGAAATATAGAATTTAATCAAAAAAGACAATGAAGGCAATGTATTTGATTATTTACTGATCACATTAACATTATAATAAACACAATATATGTACATTATAAATTCAAGCCCTCAACAAATGCAAAATCTGAATTATTGCTTCAAAATAAAATATTCAATTCATTATTATAATATTTTTAACGAAATTTATGAGAATTACTTACCGAACTCATATTAAGAGGATAAAAATTCGATCTTTGACACTAACCTGTAAGAAAAGAGCAAATAAATTAAAATTAATTTTGAGTTTTAGTTGTTATAGGAATTATTTACTGCTAATAATTTGAAAAATAAATTAAAAATTTATTAAATATTTGAAAAATATATTAAAATTTTTACGAATTCGAAGTAAATGAGATTTTCAAGTTTATATAACAAAAATTAAAGCATTTTTTTTCCATATTTCTTCATTCGCATTCAATAAAAAGTAAAAATTTTTTGCATTTCTATCAAAGAACCCCCTTATGATTATTATATTTTTTATATTTTAATGAAAAATAAAGAGTTTTTTACATTTTTTACGAAGTGAAGAGTTTTTTACGTTTTTTACGAAAAAAAATTGTTTACACATTTTGTATAACTAAACAACGAAGAATAAAGTTCGGACGTAAGTATATTATGACTACTGCATTTATATGTAGCATTTGAAGTACAAATTAATTTTCGGAGATATAAGTGTTGTTTACCATTTACCATTCTGCAAAAACAAAAAAAAATTAAATTTAATTGTCTCACAAAATAAAAAAAGAATTTTTTTTCAAAAATTTTTTGGAAAAATTCTAAAACCTAATAAGAAGTTAGGATTTGCTTTGATAATTCTAGTCTAAAAACTGAAATTCTGTAAAAGAAAAAATTTTATTTATTTTATATGCAAAATATTTCGTTTATTCACAATACTGTAAAATGTTCATTGCACTGGCGCCTGATGATGTCCTTTTTAGGTTCACTTTATGCTTCTTATTCCTAATCAGAATTAGATTAAAAAAATATTTTTGGAATTAATAATTAAAATAAGTAAAAAACTTTGTTAATGTTTTTGAATTATCCCTTAGTTATTTTAATAATAATTGTTATGTTTTTAAAAGAATTATTCTTGTAATAAATCTTACAATAGCTTACCAAAATCACAATGAAATTTGATTTGAAATTTTATTTTGTTACACACTAACCTGCAAGGAAAGAGAATAAAATTAATTTTGTTATAAATTATAAATTAAATAATTGTTAATTTTGTATGTGTACAAAATTTATTAAAAAATTTTATCATTATTTTCCATATTAAAAATATTTTGTTTTCTTACAACTTTTACAGAACAACCCAGACGTTGTTGCAAATAATAAATTGCTTATCAGATAAAGGTTTCGCTTTTCTTGAATTATTTTTAAAAAAATTTCAAACTTATCGTATTCATAATTGTTAGTTAAGACAAATAGTTTGATAATAGCAATCTGCAAGGAAAAATAAATATTAAAGATCATTAAAATTAAAACTTGTTCGGTAATTCGGTAAATTATCTCTGTGACAAGTTTATTACAAATTTGGAAAAGAAAATTCGCAGGATTCTTATTATAAATTGAACGATCCTTGAACACATTTTCAAATTTTTTATTAATTTTTCCAATACTGAAACCAAGTTAATTTCTTGCCTTGAAAATTAAATAAAAACCATTTTATTATTGAATTTAGCACGCAAAGTATAATTTTTCGAGCTATTTAATTTTTTTCTAAATATCTTTCAAATACGCTATCATTGGCTTCCTCAGGACCTGGCTCTTATTTTCAGTCGCGCTAGTAATTCCCAAATATATCAACATTTTCGCAAAATTGTGTTAATTTTTTCTTTGTTTTATTATTGTCGCAGAAAACTGCAAAAATAAAAAAAGTAACATTATTAAGTTTATTTAAGTAAATTTCAATTATTTCCGAAAATTCTAAGGTGATCTGTTTTTATGGGCAATAAAGTTGAACAAATATTGTTAATCGGTTTTTATTGTAGCGAGGAATTTATTAAATCTCCATGTGGTTCACAAAATATTTAAGAAAATTTTAAAAATTGTTGAAGATTTCGAGTTTCATTAGTGATCTGCAAGAAAAAAAAGAATCGAAATAATATTAGGATTTTTAAGGAGAAAAAACTTGAAGTAATAAAGCATAAACTAAAAATATTATTTTAACCGTTTTTTAATTTAATTAATCAGTTTTTTAATTTTTTTATGGAAACTTTCCAGAAGGCAATTAATTTTAACAAAATTTTAAATAGAAATTCAAAAAACATTAAATCAAGTTGTTCTTTCGGAAAAGTTAAAGAATAAATCGTACGTTTCCACTAAAAGTTAAATATTCTAAAAATTTTTAAAATGAAGAAAAACTTTTCCAAAAAAAAATTTTGATTTAACTAATTAATCAAATAATCCACTTTTTCGTGATGAAAGGCGCGGGATCAGTTGAAGTAACAAAAAAATTTTTTTTTCTTAAAGTTAATTTTAAACTCCTTGATGTTGTTAATAGGTCTTACAACCTCACAAACAATTGAATCTTTTGCGAAACCGATGATTTTTGAGTCAACCTTTCTCTAAACCATTTGGGTATCCTCTTATTTACTGCCCCGTCTCCTTAAATTTAATATGAATTAAAAATTGATCTGTTGCTGATCCATGTGTCAAACGTTTCGTACTTTCCACATTAATACAATCTGAATGAATTCATTTTAAGATTTTTATTTACAACAGCAATCTGCAAGAAAAAAGAGAGAAAGTCAAATTAATATGATAAATTTTCCTCAAAATAAATTATAGATACATAGAGTAATTAACAATTTATTAAAAAAATTTATTTTATTAAATAATTAATTTTAAATATGATCGAAATTCTTTGTAAATAATTCAAGCAGTTGCTGAATATAAAAAGCATTCGCTGAATTCAAGGATTCGAAATATTTTATCAATTTTTACAATAAAATTTGGGCTTTTTGGTTTTTAAGAAAAAATTTATCAGAATTTTCAGAAGTGATTGAAACCGAACCACTGACTGAATCCCGTATGGTATAAGCTACTCAGTATAGCTCATACAGATAAAAGCTACTAACAGCTCTTGATTTTTCTTGTTAAGCTAACGATGTCCTTTTAAGATCATATTTCGTTATTTCAGTACTATTACCCGAAAGTTACAGAATAAATTTTAAAATATCATTAAATTTTTTTTTGTTAGTGCAGGTAATCTAAAAGACAATTTTAGTAAATAAAATTAATATTTTTTTTTATTTTTATTATTTTTATGATTTTCAGTTTTTGTCGAATCCATTGATTTTGCTTCTTTCTATAGTTTTTTGTAGATTTTTTTAAATCTTCATCTATGTGCTATTTGAATGTGCTATATGAATCTATGTCTATTTCTGAAAAAAATATTTGTGTACTCAATTAAATTAATAAATTAATATTTAAACTTCAATTTCTTACACCAACCTGAAAGCAAAAAAAAAAAAGAGGAAAAAATGAAATTATTTTTTAAATACGGGACACAAAGCATCTAAATCTCCAGGACACAAAGCATCTAAAAAATTAGGAATATAAATTTTCATTCACTTCCCTCTTCGCTAACATTTATCATGTAGCAAAAACCAAGATTTTAAAATTTAATAAAATTGAACAAGTCAAAATCTTAAATACTCACCTCGGTTTAAGAATAATGACAATATTGGATTAACATTAGAATATATTTTAATAAAAATCGTAAAATAATTGTTAAGGTTATAAAATTTAAATTGTAAAGACATACTTACCTTTATCTTGTTCAGTAATGTTGAAATTTCCTTCTTTTATTAATAAGCCCGTCAAAACTATTAACATCTTCCATGAGAAATTTTAATATTAAAGATTCTTATAAATTTTTAGAAATATCCTTTTCGCTTGGTAACCAAACCACTTCGTATAAATCTTTTGTTATATTTATTACACAAAATTTAATTTAACTAAAATTTTTAATTTTTATAAACTCAGTATATTATAAATTTAAATCTCATGTTCTCGTTTTAAGTGAAATAACTAGAAAAAGAACAATTCATTCACGAGCTATTAATTCTAAGCAATTCTACCTAATTCTACCATATTTGTTTAAAAAAACTTATTTTTGTTTTTGTTTACAATATTCGCGAAAAGACTTTTAAATTTAGATTTATTCACGAATAATGTTGCATGCATACTTCCATGCCGCATTTTGCAAAACCATAGAAACCATAATTTTATGGAAAAAACTCAAAATTTATCACAATTTCAATAAATTCAATTCCAGTTTTGGACGTGTGATAAGTTAAAATTGTAATTTGAAGAAAACTACCGGAAAAATTAATAATAGCACGAAGATAAAGAACTAGAACATGATATCAATTACATTTTCATTTAATATCACTTTATCGATAAGGCAAGTCAAGGACTTCCTATAAAATCCTTAAAAATATCCTTATTATTTAATCAATTATATTATTCCAAAAATACACCATTTTCAAATAGCATTTCTGTTAATGTTTAACTTTGAATTTTTTTAATTTTTCACTTTTTAAAATCAATTTTCATTTATATAATATTATCACAATAACTTTCAATATGGATAATTAAACTGGAAGCAACTTTTCTTAACTAAAAAATGTCCACAAAAATTAATTTAAAATTCAATTTTAAATAAAAACAAATACAACATATATAGAAATTGGAAATCAATTATGATTTCAAATCATATTTCACTTAATTCACACATTCAAACACAATATTGTACTTCTGAGGATAATATGAACTTATCCATTCGGATAAAATTATGCAATATCAAAAAATTTTCTTTTAGGACAAGGAATAGAAGCTGTAAAGAAAATAAAGTAAAAACCTGAACCTGATAAAAAGTTCCAATTGATAATGGACAACATTCTGTTATTGTTTTCCTTTCACTCATCATCTTATCATATTATAACCACATTCTAAGCAAATTTAAATAATGGAAAAACATTGCCCCCCAACTTAATACTTTCCCACAATTTTATAGCATTAATTTAACTTTAAAAAACAGAAAAGAGAAAGAAAATATTGCAATATGGAATTACTTTTTTTTTTCATTCGACCCATAACAAAAAAAAAAAGATTCCTCCTTATTTTGATTGCTTTGTTTTTTTTTCGTGTGTATGTTTTCCTTTTCAAAAACAAAAATATATTATATTCAATCACCATATGGTTCTTTTCTCAACTGATATACTTTCATATTGTTCATATCAATATTATATTGTATATTTATTCTTACACTGTATATAACATACTTTCAACTCTTTTCCATATCCTTTTTAAAAAAGAAAAAGAGAAAACCATTTTCAATATTTCAAATTATAACAATCATACATAAAACTAAATGAATTTCCCATATAAATAGTCAGTGCTGAATCATATAACATACTCAAATATATTGCACATAATATAAAATGAAAAGGATAATATTGCAAAGGACACAATACACATACAAACAGTTACCTATATTTTTTAAAAAAAGAAATTTATGTCCAATACAATTGTATAAAAACAATGAAAATAAACAAAAACTAAAAAAAAAAATTTCAATCTAAATAAAAAAAAAAAATTGAAAAATTGTTGAATGTGGTTGAATTCTTCAATTACCATACAATAAGTGCAGCTTGTATTCCAATTGATTTTCATTAATAATTCATTGAATTCATTTTCGAAAAAAAAAAATTTTTCACAACATTCATTTCAATTTCTTTCCAAATTTTTCAACACAATTTCAATTTTATTCTCATATATGCATGTATGTGCGAAGTGTGGAGTTATTTATAGCCCTACTCATATAAAGATGAATACTCTACATACGTATATGCACACACACACATATTATATGAACATTATAATATTAGCATATCCTTTTTTTTCTGTTTTACAAAAAAAAATATAACAATAATATTATCTCAAATGTTAGTAAAATTATTTTTCATTTTATTTCAAAGAAAAACAAATTATTTAAAACAAAAATTAGTTTAGATCGAGTAAAACAAACGCATACACTCAAGAAAAATTTTTGAATATAATTGTTACATAGATCATGTTATCATTGATGATAGAGGTATCGTATAGCTCTCGTGCATCATTGGTGAATATTATTTAGAATAATTTTAATTTGTATAATTTGTAAATGGCAAATTCAAGTTTGTCAACAGGAAATCATAGAGTTCCAAATGCGTTATGCTGACATGCAGTTCATATTACGTAACTGTAATCAAAGTATTCGTGCAATTCCAAAATTTTATTATAGTTTCTTTTAATTTTCTAGTCATCCGAAAAGTATGCAAGAATTATAGTAAATATTCTATTAACAATAAATACGTTAAAGGACTTTCAGTAAATTAAAGGATTTTCATTGCAAAATGTGCTAATTACGTTAAGAAACCATTGGCTAAAAAATTAAAAAATAATTAATGAACTAAAATTATGAAGTCGTCGAAGAACAAAAATAGGCGGACTCGATCTGTCATCAGGTCAATCAATAGTGGGGGGCTTTAACCCAACCTAAAACGTACCTAGATGGTCATATACTCCCAAGACTAGTAAAACTGACTAACCTTTAGTCTTGCTCTAAGGTATTTTTGTGTCTAGATTCCATGAAGGAAATCACGGAGATGCATTTACATGCCGATCCACACCCACCCTGTGTTTCATGGCACTGTTCCTGATTTCTTCAATTAATAGGGGAACACCCATATCACTATGAATGTCACTATTTTGCACATACCAGGGAGTACCCACCATATTACGAGCAATCTTGTTCTGAAAAGTTTGTTTGATGTGTGTTTGCTTGGCATAAACCCATAGCTGCAAGCTATACGTACATATGAGCTTTATCATTTCGTTATATGTGAACACTTCATGTAAATTTCATATAATCAACCATATATTATGTATATTCAGACGCAACATAATCACAATCCAAAATTTAATTATTGTTATTTTATTTATAAGACACTGATGTGAGCATCAGAAAGAAGTCAATAAAATTTTATTCTATATAACCACAAAGAAAAAAAATTGTTCTTGTGAGTAAAATCAAAAATTCAAAAAGAATAGAAGTTAATGATGACGGATATTGAAAATGTTTGCCATAAGATTAAAATATCTAGGTAAATAAATTTAAAATTATATATTCCTTGTCATCTTATTCACATCTATATTACAATTTAAATTAAAAAAGAAAGAAGGCAAAAACAATTTTTAAATTTATTTCCTGCATATAATGTAATAAATCCGTTTCTTATGTACCACCTATAATTTCTTACAAGAATCCATAAAAATCAATTTAAATTTATAAAGAAGTACCTACTTCATCGCTATACCTTTATGACCAATATTCAAAGAAAATAATGTCGATCATTATTAATATCCTTTTTTTTCCATACCTTATGTTCGTGTATAAGGATTAAATAGAATGACATATTATATAACCTAAAAATCAAATAAAATAAATATCAAGAAATAGTAAAGGAACGTGATTTTCGTTATCCATATAAAATGTGAAAATTTTATATATTATAACTTATTAGTAAGGTATTGAATCAGAGGAAGGAAGTTGTAATAATAATTTATTAAAAGTTTAGAATCAGTGAAAGGAGTTCAATCAATTCTTACAAAGTTAGAACATAAATTAATAATTTTTTTCTGTTCTAGTATAAGATAATTTTATATAGGTAGATGACG